GCGCCTCGCGGGGGCTGGGCGGCGGCCGCGGAGGCGCCGCGCTAACTTATTCCGACGTGTACACAGAAGCTGTTAGAAGCCCCCTCGTGCGAAGCCCTACTGTGTTTTTATGTTCCGGTTTAACAGAGAAGTTTACTTAGCAATAATTATAAATAAATGAATATTCTTTAGCCCGGCGACTGCGTGCGTCCTTCGGGGCACTGCCCGGCTCGTCCTCACCCGCCCCGCCCCGGAGGACCCCCACCCTGGCGGCCCGCTCCGCTGGCCAGCGCCGCCCCCCCAGCCGGGCGTCAGGCCCCCAGAACCGGGCGGATGCGAGCAGCAGCAGAGACAGCCTTCCCCACCCTCGGGGGGCTGGGGCTCCGCACCCCACAGCCTCCCTCCCCTAGTCTCTCCGGAGGGGCCTGGACCGCCGGGCCCCCTCGCACCCCGCCGCTGGGGGGCGCCTAGAAAGTTACACCCACAACGCAGGCTGTAACATGTGGCAGAGGTCCCCGGTGAAGATGTCGGGACCGCTGTGCCCGGAGGTCCCAGGGGCACAGGCCTGCACCCCAAGAGCCCCGCTGCCCCAGGGCAGCCCTCGGAGCGTCGCCCCAGGAACAAAGGCACCACGGCTTCGTGAAGAGCTTTTTAGTAGCTGAGTAAGGCACCGCTGGCGCTGAGGTAAGGCACTCCGCCCCGCCCTGGGGCACAGGTGAAGACACCCCGCTGCGGAGAGGGCCCCCAGGAAGGCCCGGGGCCGCAGGCCCAGCCCCCGCCCCGCCAGGGCTAGCCCAGGGCCTTGTCCAGGTTGCTCTTGATGGTGTCCAGGAAATCCGAGGTGTTCAGGTAGTGCTCGTTGAGCTTCACACTGCGAGAGAACGCCCTGTTGGCAGGCGCCGCCCAGCCCCGCCCCGCCCAGCCCCCTCCCGCGGCCGGGGCGGCAGGCAGGGCTCCCACAGGAGCAAGGAGGGAAGGCCGGCGCCGCCCGGCCGACGAGAGGGGTGCCTGAGGGGGCCCTGTGGCCCGCCCGCCTGGCCCCAGACCCGGAACCCCCCACGCACTTGGTGAGGCCGTGGATGCAGCCGGCCAGGTCCTTGGTCATGGCGCCGCTCTCCACCGTGTCCACGCACACCTTCTCCAGGGTCTGGGCAAACCTGCGGGGAGGCAGGTGAGGCCGGCCCAGAGCCCAGGGCCTGCCCCCGCCAGGCCGCTCCGCCGCTCACCTGACCAGGTCCTGGTTCCCGTCCAGCTTCCCCCGGTGCTCCAGGCCTCGCGTCCAGGCGAAGATGCTGGCGATGGGGTTGGTGCTGGTGGGCCGGCCCTGGGGGCAGGAGCCGGAGCGGCCAGTGAGGACGCCGGGCCCCAGGACGGCCAGGCCAGCCCGCTCACGCTGGCCGGGCGCTGCTGCGTCCCCGACTCACCTTCTGGTGCTCCCGGTAGTGGCGGGTGACCGTCCCGTGGGCCGCCTCGGCCTCAATGGTCTTCCCGTCCGGGCAGACCAGCACAGACGTCATCAGGCCCAGGGAGCCAAAGCCTGTGGGGAGGGCTGCGTCAGGGCCCCTCGGCCTGGGCTCAGCCCCGGCCCGGCCCTGCTGTCAGCGGGCACAGCGGGTTGCGGGTGTCCACCCCGGGCCTGGCCAGGGCGCTCGGGGCGGCCTTCACTGGCGCCCGGGCCCCGGTCCAGCCCGCGCGGCTGCGGCTGGAGCGCAGTGGGGCGGAGGGTGCAGTGCCCTGGCGGCCACTCTCCGGGCACCTCAAAGCTTGCTGGCTGGGCTCCCATGGCCCGAGAGCACGCGTCGCCCCCCCACCCCGCCTCCAGGGCCTCGCAGCACCCCGGCAGGCCGAGGGAAGAGAAGGTGGGGAGAGGCACTGTCCGTGGATCGCTGCCCGCGCAGGCAGGCGTCCGGCCCGGGGTGGCCTGGCCCCCGGCTGCGGGTGACTCCGCCTCGTCTGCTGGCGGCCCCCGGGGGGTCTGCGCAGACGAGCACGCCCAGCCTTGCCAAACAGCGGCCCTTGCGGGTGGCACGGGCCTCGGCCCCATCTTAGCAGCGCTGGGCCTCTGGCCCGGCTGCTGCCCCCGCCCCTCCTCACGCCAGCCTCGTCCTGTGGCCCGTGTCCCCGGCCACGCCTGCGGCAGCGCCCTCTGGCTCCCAGCACAGCCATGCGCTTCTGGCGCCCTGAGAGCCCCTGCCCGCCTCTGGCCTCCCTGGGACGCAGGAGGGCTGGGCGTCCCCTTCCGTCGTGCCCTGTAACCTCCAGAAAGTTCACTGTGCCACTTGGATCCTCCGTCATTGAAGGAGCATCCAAGGGTTCAATCCCACAGGAAGCGGACTGGGTCCAAGCGCACCCAAACATGGCCACCAGGCCCCGGGTGGACAAGAACCATGTCTAGGCCAGCACGCCTGGCGCTTGGGAACCTGCATCCCCACAGCCTCCGGCAGCCTTAGTAATGCACCAGTCCAAACCCAGCCCCGAGCTGCTGCCCCCTGCTGGCCACAGGACCTTGTAACAGGTGATGGCGGGGCCTGCGCTGCGTCTTCCTACCAAAGGGTCTGAGACCCCGCAGAGAGAAGACCCGCGACGCACCCCCAGAGCAGCGGGGCGCCGGGCCTACCCTGGGCCAGGATGTCGGACTGCACGTCCCCGTCGTAGTTCTTGCAGGCCCACACGAAGCCGCCCGAGGACTTGAGCGCCTGCGCCACCATGTCGTCGATGAGCCGGTGTTCGTACCAGATCTTGCTCTTGTCGAAGTCGGCCTTGTAGTGCCTGGGAGCAGGGGAGCCTGCG